CAGCGATACTTAGCTCAATCAAAGTAGGATTTGCCTCCTCTTTGCCTCCCTCGTGACTTCAACAGGACTCCAATGTCTTTGTCAGTCTTCGTCTGGCTGACGCTGCAGCTGACGCTCCAGGATAACTTACAGTGATTGCTGAGTCAGTATCGATAGTGTCCCCACCGGGTCTGGATGCACATTGAGTTATTCTGATTTTAAATGCGCTATTTTAAATGATTTTTAGCTGAGGGTTTACTAACTCACGCTGTTATGCACTTCGCGCAATCAGCAGAGTGTTCCTGCCTATTGTAATGCATCTGAAATTTAAAATCTCTCAGAAATCGCCGTTTTAGCTACAATAACTACAGAACAATTATACAGAGTAGAATAAATGAAACAGAGAAGTCTATTTAAACAAGAATATAACTTAGTGATTGCTGAGTCAGTATAGATAGTGTCCTCACCGGGTCTGGATGCACACTGAGTTATTCTGATTTTAAATGCGTTATTTTAAATGATTTTTAGCTGAGGGTTTACTAACTCACGCTGTTATGCACTTCGCGCAATCAGCAGAGTGTTCCCGCCTATTGTAATGCAGGGTTAAGGCGCTTGACCCACTGAGACCTGTTTTACAGGTTGAGTTGAGCAGATCTGAGATTTGAGAGATTTTAAATCTCAGATGATCTGAGATTTAAAATCTCTCAGAAATCGCCGTTTTAGCTACAATAACTACAGAAAAATTATACAGAGTAGAATAAATGAAACAGAGAAGTCTATTTAAACAAGAATATAACTTACAGTGATTGCTGAGTCAGTATAGATAGTGTCCTCACCGGGTCTGGATGCACACTGTAGTATTGAATTTGATTGCTGTAGATCTTATGCTTTAAATGTAGATCGATACGTTGAATACTCACAATGAGGACGTAGACCCCGAGGCATTCTGCCATGCACTCCCTGACCAGCTGGCTTCTGATTTGACATTTCCTCAGCAGCCTCTCCATCCCGGAGCTTTCCTCGGGCCACAGCTGATCTTTCAGAGCGGGGACACTGGCTGCAGGTGAAGGGGCCCCACCCAGCACTGCTCTGTCTGCCTGGCTGAGCACAGTCTGCCCTTTCATACTGGAGCTGTATTCTACGTCACACACTTTATGACATGGCTGACGTGGCGGTGAGTGTACACGCAGGAGAGGAGAGTAGTTCATTTTGGAGGGCATCTTCATACCTAAACTACTGAAGATATGCTTAAAGAACACTTGACTGCACAGAACTGGACTCCTGCTAACAGGCCTGACTTTCTTGGAGGGTTTCACAGCTGATTGGAATGACTTCTGATTGTCCCTCTTGTTTGATTGGTTGTTACATTTCTTCTTCTCTGACCAAAAAAACAGGATCTGCACCTCCTCAAGCTCGACATCCTTCATCTAAAATAAGAAAAGTGTTTCCAAATATTCAGTCAAGTTCTTCTGTTTTATGAGGAATCAACTTGTTTCGGTGCCATATTGCTACTTTATTGTTTACCACAGAATAATAAAGCTGATAAGAGATGGAAATCTCTTTGGCAATATGTGCTCATTATATTTTTTGCTAAGGGTATTTCTCTACATGAGAGAGATCATTGCCAGATCATATACACCATCAGTTCTGTTGAATTTTACACTGCTGCAAACAGCGCAGTAACTCGCTGCTAACAACACATATAAGTGAGGAGATAACATGTTCGTCAAGAGATTATCACACTGATTATAGTTAACTGATAATATGTCATTGAACTAGATAGTGTAACACAAGAGAAGCAGAGTTTAGTAGAATATGATCACATTTCAAGATATTTCACCTTTTTTTTAATGGTCTAATAGCATCTGTAAACTATGTTTTAAAGTCCATTTAAATGTTTCATATGAAGGTAACCTTTCAACTAAAATGTGAATGAAGAGGAAGGTAAACAAATAATTACTTTATTTAATCTGATAGTTTATTGCTAGCACTTCTTTTATGAATTATATTTATTTAATTGTATCTGATTTTATGTCACACAAATAGGTTAGTGTCTAAAGGACATCACCAGAATGAACTCCACACTATATCATTCTTCAACATTTAAAAAAATGCTTTAAAAAATCTGTTCTCTCTGAAGTTGAGTTTACCGACCATTTTCAAAAGAAAAACTCCCAAGGTGCTATCATCTCCACCCCCCTCACAAAGGCAGATTTTCTAGAAGATGAAAAGAGAAATTAAACCTTTTGATATTTCACTCATGAAAGAGCGTGTAATTGTTAATTTTATCTTGAAGTAAGTTAAAAAGAAATCTGGTTCCAAAGCACATGGAAACTACAAACCTGCTGGAGGTCACGCTGACACATTCACTATATGAGGGCCGAAGCAGTCATCCATAACAAGCTGTGAAGAAAGAGCTGAAATGATGAAGACCGGATGGGTTTGGTTCTGATTGAGAAAGATCAAGTCTGTTATAAGCTTGGCAGAAACAGCAGAGCGTGACAGGAACAGAACGTGCTGCATTTACCCTCAGTATCGTGCTGTCGAAAAGCCCTCCTGTACAACAACATCACAATGAAAAAGCAGGTTAAGAAAGGTTTCATTTAAAACCATTTAACCAAACCATTTAAAATGCATAACTTCCATAAATTCTCATTTCAGTTTACCTAAAAACACTGTAGCTGACTGGTTTTCAGCATACACTAACCTGGTAGGATGGACCACATCATAGGCTGTAAAATATATAATGAGGATATTTTTGGAGATGAGGTTCAACTTCCAAAATCAGTAAAAAAAGTCAACAAAAAACCTCCAACCCCTGTTTAAATGAATGCCATTATGCATTCACAAAACAGTCCAAAAATGTAAAAGCCAAAAAAGTCCCTAGAAAGCTACAAGGATTTAAAAAATAGAATGTACTTGAATTAAGCACACATCCATTTAAAACTCCAGCTGGACTGATCATCAGTCTGACACCATTAACAATCTCTAAATATGTTAAATGAAAGTATTAAATAAATCAACCTTTACTAATAAGACTGTCAGTCATTTTTCTTGTGTGAAAAAAAAAGATTCTTATTTAAAAGTGGCTAGCCTAAACTGTGTAAAAACCCCACAAAACAGGCAAATAACAACAATGTTAATAAATTAAAACTCTTTATTTGACATATCACACACTCACATCCATACAAGCTTATCCTACAGGAAAAATTCTAAAATAAGTATTTGTGAAATGTTAACTACCTGATTTGTGTTGATTTGTTAAATCACTAGTTTTAGGGATTGGCAGGTTTGGAGTCTACATTGGTAACCCTGACAACAGGCCAGAGGCCCTAATCCAGCTGAGTCCTTTTGGCAATCAAAGGTTACTTAAGTGTTTTTGTTTAATAAATACAGATATATTCTTAACATATGCAAACTCACAGCTCTGGAGTGAAACACTCATAAATTGCAACATTTTCAGGGGATCAAAGCTAGACAATGTACTCCATGTAATACTCCACTTTACGTTTTATTTAAACGCTCCGAAGAAACTTGAGAATAATGAGTCATCGTCCCGCATGTCTCCAAAGGGGTTTTGCCCACCTGAAATACAGACAAGAATGCATTAGACTTAAATCAAGCAGCTAAATTAGTCAAGATAATATAAAAAAGCCTGTATACTTCATGAATAGTCACTATGTATTGACTGACCTGATATGGCCGGTCCTTTCTGATGCTCGGGGCCCTCCAGGACCCCGGGCCCTCCGGAGCGGGTCACCGTCGTCTCTTCTTTGCCTTGGCTGTCTCTGACTGTTCGCCTCTCCTCTACAGTCTGACAGATGGAAACGCAGTAAGAGACATTCATTGGAATTCACAACAAAGTGGTGAAATAAAAAGAGAGGATGAAGCTAAATATATAAAATAGTCATAGGGAAGTTTGTAATAAATATCTCCCTTTTCAGGGTTTGAGCATATTTTAAAGATAAGAGCGATAATATTGAGAATTTAAAATGTTTTCGTATCATTCATTACATGCATACATCAGGAGAACATTTTTCTCTCACCCCATCAGGTTTCACCACCTTGGTGACGGCGACTGACTGGAAGAATGAGCGGGCTCTGGGTTGGTTGGGTGCCTGACCAGCAGGTGGCGTCAGAATCTGATCCAAGCCCCGAGAGGATACTGCAGAGTCCAGATCTGGAAGGGAAGGATGGGAACAGATAATCAGTCTGAACACGAATCATAAACTTCATTTGTTTTTCTATAGGATTAAACAAAAAACCCCACCTCTGTCTTCTTTGTGCTCCTCTGGAGTTCTCTGTGGGCCTCCTTTCCAAATATCATTAAACTATAAAAGAGAAGTTAATACATAACAGTAACACTGCATGTTGCCACAGAAAAAAAGCATTGATGGCAAAATGGAAGTATGTACACTGAACAAAAATATAAACGCAACACTTTTGTTTTTGCTCCCATTTTTCCTGAGATGAACTCAAAGATCTAAAACATTTTCTATATACACAAAATAACCATTTCTCTCAAATATTGTTCACAAATCTGAAAAAATCTGTGATAGTGAGCACTTCTCCTTTGCCGAGATAATCCATCCCACCTCACAGGTGTGGCCTATCAAGATGCTGATTAGACATCATGATTATTGCACAGGTGTGCCTTAGGCTGGCCACAATAAAAGGCCACTCTGAAACGTGCATTTTTGCTTTATTGGGGGGATCAGGGGGGGTCCGAAAACCAGTCAGTATCTGATGTGAGGGTTAGGAATAGGGTTAGGGTTATGGTTAGGGTTAGGGTAATGTTGTGAA